GCCGCACGTGCAGGGGTGGGTCTCGGAGACGGAGGAAGGACCGGGCAGGCTCTCGCTTCCTGCTCAGCTACCGAAGGACAAGAACCGTCTGCCTGAGCTCGTGGTGTTCACTTGGCTGTCCTCACTGTGGCCTCCTTGGTGACATTTCAAACGTCGGGTTGAGGTTTTGACCTTCGGGTGTTATTACCAAACACCCATCCTTCCGCCCGTGAGACTCTAAATGTGGGTGTCAGATCTTCCCGCCGCATCCCCGCGTCCCTCACCCCGGGTTCCTGCACTTTGTCCTGTAGCGGCTCGTTCTGGACACTTTCCACGGGGTCTGCCTTCCAGTGTCGAGTCTTTGGTGGCTAAACTCAACTACCGGTCCCTTAATTTCGGTCACCTTTCCTTCAGTTCCTGAATTTCCGTCGGGTTCCTTTACAGTGTGCCCTGCTTTTTGCTGACATTTTCAATCCCGTCCATTGTCTCTTTAAACACACCGAATAGCGCGAATTTTAAATTTCTGTCTGACAGCTCTGTTCTGTGAAGCCCCTCTATGTCTGTTCCTACTATGGTTTCCTTCCAAATTTCATGTCGTCTTGCCCCCTCCCATTATTTTTGACTGAGCACCAGAGAGTATATACGAAAAGCCAGACATATCATTGCCACGGAGGATGATGTCACCTTTTTCCAGAGAGGAGTTACCTTCCCAGGTACCTGGGACAGCAGAACCCCAGGGTGCCCGGCAGCATGGCACACACCAGGGCCACCAAGTGTGGGGAGGGGCTCTTTCTGGTTCACTGGGCAGAAGGTGCCATCACCCCTGCCCCCCAAGTCTGTGAGGAGCACTGCTCGGTGGCTTGGCCTCTCTGCACCTTCTTGTGAAGTGGGAAACACCTCCAGCCTTGTCCGTTCCCAGAGATCTGGTCCCGACTCTCTTCGCCACATCCTGCTGACCCCCCCCCCACACACACTTCCAGACAGGAGCGTTACAATGTATCAACTCCCTTGTTAGTGTCCTTGGGTGGGGGGGGGGGCGGTCAGAATTACCTGGTCAATCGTTCCTGGATTCAGAAGTGCCTGCTCAACAATTCCCAGAGAAAGCCTTTGGTCCCCAGTCTTCTCTGACCCCACCCCCCAGCAGGCAGCCTGAAATGCAGGGGAGGCATCCAGCTTGGTGCCCTGCGCCAAGCTGTGCACTGAAGCATTTGTTAATATGGCGGAAACTGAATACGGAATGTCCAGTGGTGACGAGAGACTGGTCAAGTCCCAGCTAGCACATCTGGATGGTGCAGCCATTAAAGTGCTTTTCACAGGGGCTTCCTCCAGGTGGGAACACCTCACGCTGCCTTGTCAGGTATGGTGCTTCCTGCAGAGGGAAGTGCGGGCCGTGTGCTGAGGCAGGCCCTCCCCCATTCACACCACCTCCCTAGACAATCTCGCTAATTCCCGCAGCTCCAATGTCGCCTGTGTGGAACACCAGTGACTCCAAATGCAGGTTTCCAGTACTGACCTGTCTTCCAATTACTTTTACAGTTAATTCCACTTGGAGGTCTCGAAAGTGTCTCAAACTCAGTTTGCCCACAACAGAGCTGTTGATCCTCTCTACTACTCCAAACCAAATACATGGCGGACTCAGTCTTCCCGTGGGACCAGGCCGCCGCAGGGCGCGCACGACCGTCTGCCCAGCTGTCCAAGGAAAGGAGCTCCTCCGGCCCGCTCCCTCCGCCTCTGCCTTCGACGATGAAGCCATCGGCAAGTCCCAGGAATTCTACCTCCCATGCGCATGTTGGCTTCAGGGCTTTTTCCATCTCTGGCGCCCCCATGCTGGCCCGAACCCCATCGGCAGCCCCAAATGCTATTCTCCACTTCTTTTCTCATCGCCCCCCAGTTCATTTTGCACACACAGTGAGGGCCCTTGGTGGAAATGGGAAGCAGGCCTTCTCACCCTTCGGCTTAGCATGACCCAGCGTCTCCCCATCGTGCTTCAGGAACACCCAACCCTACCTCGGCCCCGGAGACCCTGCACGACTGAGTCCCAGCTACCCTCTGACCTAGCCTCACCCACGAGCCCGTCACCGGGCTCTGGCCCTGTGCCCACCCTCCCAGCCACTGACCCCGAGAAGCCCGTCGATTCTGGGCCTCTGGGCTCCGCGCCCTCAGGAACACTCCTGCCGAGGTCCCTGCACGGCTAGTACCTTCCCCGCCCTGTGGCTCCCGGTCGGACGGGGCCACCTCTGAAAGGCCGCCTCGTCCACTTCTCTCCTCGTGGCATTTACTACGTCAGGTGTGCTCGCGTTCATCTGCCCGTGTGCTCGGTAATTCCGTGCGCTCTCTAGAAGCATGTACGCTCCTACAGACCACGGCCTGGGTCTGTCTCGCCTCCTGCCATATCCACAGTGTCCCCTGCAGGGGGACCCATGCAGGGCCCCCTGCTTGGGAAGGAGACAGGCCCAGAGTGGCCAGGCTCCACACTTGCTCCAGGCCACCCAGCTGGCAGGGAGTGAAGTCAAGGTCCGAACTGGCCTTTGCCAGCAGCAGAGCCCACACTCTGTCCATGGCCCCCCCTTGCTCAGCGCCCCAAGCCCCCACCCAGGTGCTTTCAGTGCTCCTGGGGGCAGAAGCCATGCCTCCCCTCATCCGCTGCCTTCCAATCACAGCCATTAATCACCGAACAGTTACTGCATGCGGCGGCCCTTGGCACTAACCTCTGCAACTCAGCTTCCTTGTCCGTACCATGGGATTAATACTAGAACACACGCGTGGTTCCCATGAGGCATCAGTGGTTAGCACTTGTCGAGTACTCAGAACACTGTCCAGGACATGGACACGTGACACAAGCTCTGTGGCAGAAAGGAGGTCTGTCTGGGCAGCACCTGTGGTGTGGCCAGCACTGTGGGGCAGAGCAGGGGACCAGCTGCAGCTCCAACCGCTTCCACTCAGGGAAGCCCACAGCGAGGGTCCGAACCACGTGGGGACGCAAGCCCCGGCCATGGCAGGAGCGACTAGCACCAGTAAGCGCTTACGTGTTGGGTGCTGACCCGGGCATTTCTATCTCCATGTCCTGTGCCCTCAGGCCCCCCTGCAGGGGGGTGTGACAGGAGCTGATGCAGGGGAAGAGATGGCCATGGGGACCTGGGCTTCAGGTTCTGCTCTCAGGCACCGCGGCCCACACAGCGCCTGGGAAAAGCGCATGCCTGCCACCGAGCGGACGTGAGCTCCCGCATAACTGGTGGAGAGTGTGCAGGACACAACTCAGGGTAGAAAGGACGAACGTGCACTATGTTGTTTAAAACAAAGGGAGAGTCGCCCTAGTGCTTCCAATGGAAGGGTCTGAGTAAGAATAAGCAATGATCAAAACCCCCCAAAGTCATTTCCACGGACATAATTGGCTGTCACGGAGAAAGTCTGATGAGTGAGTTAACACTATAGTCACTAACTTCACAGGTAGCTCACCTTTCAAATTCACATACTGTAGATGTGGATCAAATTCCTACTGTAAAATCTCACCTAAATAAGGTCTGACCTGAAGAAATCTAATGAATACATATAACCGTGCAAAAAAGAAGAAAACAGGTATTACATCATGCAAATGCAAAGGAAAAAATCTGAATTTTCAGAGTAAGGGTTTCAACTGATTTTTCACGCAGGGCTGCAGTGGCCGGGACTATCAGAACCTTGGACAGCAATGTGGGGGCCGTTCTCTAAAGGACTGGATTTGTATCAGAGCTTAATTGTTCAAGTTCTTTCTGAACCTCTCTGTACTTTGGGAGTCTTCATTTTTCTGACTCTCGTGTAAACACAAATTCCTTTATGTGTTTGTGCAGAACTGAGCAGTGACAGAATATGCAGTTTTAAAAGGACTTCCTGCGAAGACTGGCATTTTTGTTCCAGTATCTTTCATTCATTTGAGGATAGAAATTAAAACACAGTAAAAAAAGCATTTCAATCACAGGCATTACTATAACGCAGCAGATCAAGGCCTTCAAGATAGTGGGCACCAGATGCGCGGACACGTGATTCAATTCTGATTTCAAGTTCACTAACTGGTGGCCCAGACAACCGCCATCATTTCTCTCCACCCCACTTTGCGAACTGGAGATCTCTGAGCAGAGGGCGAAGCCCCGCTGTCAGACGCACACGCTGCTGCACAGAAACGTGCATCTCTGTACCAGTGTCCCTGAAGAACACCAAACCCATGAGATGTATTAGTATATACTTATGTGCACACACAAACGACAAGTTCAACAGCACAGTCTAAAACTGTGGGAGCAAACATCTTTGAAGTACCAGCACCCACTGTCAGGGGATTTAAAAAGCGCCTGCAGACACGCGGCCTCCGAGTCAGGCAGAGCCTCCCCCGAGGCCTTCAGAACGAGGCAGGCCAGGCCCTGAGTAGTGAGCAGGTGTCTCTGTGCACGCTTTGCCAGGCAGGCCTGCCTCCTCCTCCTCCTGGAGGACTGGCTAGGGCAGTGACTTAATCCTCTGCAGCACATAAAACAAGGCCCTTGGAAGCTCAGTCCCATAGCTGGTGGGGTGGGGGAGGGGGACCAGGGAAGCCCCTCGGCTGAGCCCTGAATTAATCTGCCCAGCACCCTGGGGCAGCCACAATGCAGTCCTCAGCACGTTCCCGGGCCAGCCCTGCAGGCCTGTTCAGCACACACACAGCCGCTCCTGCCCATTCTCCCTTCCCACGGGCTCCCTTTTATTTATGTGTTTGTTGTTATGCGGCTTCTGCTGACCTGTTTGTGCGGTCCCACTGGTGTGCACACATCCACTGAGCAGGAGAAAGAAGCCTCTGTTGCTGACTGGTGAAAAGGGAAAAGGAACTCCCACTGTTTTCCCCTTGGGCCAGGACTCTACTGAGAGACTAGGGCTTTAACTCTTTGTGTCCCAGAGGGGACTTCCTTGTGCATTTCCAATTCTGCAGCAGCTTCTTCACTGTGCAACGTGCGAAATGAGAGACAGTGTTGTTCGCAGGGGACCACATCCCTTCAAACTCCACAGAGCACACGAGACAGCACAGTGGAAGGGACACGTTTATTTCCATCTTAACATGCTAGGGTCATTTGTACAGAGCGATTTCAGGATGGCCATGAGAGACTTGGCAGCACTTTACTTTGGACACCCAGTATTTTTGGAAAATGTCTGACTGGCTCTTTGCTGTTTTTATGTTGAAGATTCAACACACACTGTGCAAAACCTCCGGGGGTGAGTCCGTAACCTGGCTGGTCGAGGAGATCAGCTGTGTTGGGCGTTCACAGCACGAACCCCAAGACGTCTGGCTGGCATTAATGGCCTGGCTCCCGGCATCCCGTCCCACTTCCAATGTGAGTGTGTGCGCAGAGACTAAGACACACGGACCATCTAGGTCACACAAATTCCCGCTCCCCAAACTACCTCTGCAATCCCAGTGACGGGGCGGCGGCCTCTACGGGACAGGTGCTTTTTAAACAGAAGCCACCCGTGTGCCTTCGATCTGGGGCCCGCACTCAGTGCCGACCACCCGGCCGCCTGCCCCTCGTGGAGGCACGCAGGTGGGCAATGCGGGCAGGCAGGCGCTTTCAAACAGGATGGGTTTTAACAAGTCTGTTTCTAGGATGATGTGGAATGAAAAGAGTTAATGGCCCCCATGTCCTCTGACTCCCTGCAAAACTCCAAAGGGACAGGGCTCGGTGACGACACAGCCCAGCACCTACACCGAACAGGGAGTGAGCGCCACTCTCTAGCATCTCTGGAATTAATCAACTGGAAATGAGTCTTGTCATGCTTTGGACAGGCGGAGCGTGAAAGGAGGCAGTGAGAGTTAATCACGGTGAGAACTCCCTCAGCTGCCCGCGAGCTCGGGAAAGGCAGTGGGAAGAGGAAAACAAAAGGAGCGAGGCGGCCTCGCGTCCGGAGGAGCGAACGGGACCCCAGCAAACGCCTGCGCCTCCGCCAGGTCGGGGCGGCCTCCACAGCGGTACAGTCTGGGACGTACAGCTACATTTTTAAAGCAGAGGGACAAGAGAACACTCACACACTTTCACTTTTAAGTTTAAACACATTTAACTCTAGTGTCTAGAAGCATTGTGAGTCCCTGAATTTGTACTTGATCTTCAAACACTTGCAATTTCACATGCTGCCGAGGATGAAAAATCCAGGAAAAGACTCCAAAACTTTAGACCCGTGGATGCAGAGTTCACTCACTGAGAAGAAAGAAGAAACAAAATCACACATATAATGTCCACTTCCAAGAATCGCCAAAGGAAACAGAGAGACCCGCAACCGGGTCGGGCCCGACAGTGGGCGCAGAGCCGGGAGCTTTGCGTTCTGTTCCATCAGAATCAACGTCAGCCATCTTTTCAAGAAAATCTCGTTCCCGTCAGAACTTTTAGACTACACAAAAATGTTTGATGTGCTTTTTATATTTCTCTTTCAGGCCCAGTTTGAAGTTTTAACTCTTTAAAAAAGTGGCAGCACAAAGCCTGAAAGAAACCAATGGGCACTGAACGGGGCTGCCTCTGCTGGGCCAGGAGGCGCCACCCCCACCCGCGTCTCGGAGGGGACCTGGCCAAGCCTAGGGTCCTGGGAGGTGGGAGCCTCCGGAGGTGGCACTCACCGATGGAGGGCCGTCGCCGGTAGCTCTCAGGACCAGCTTGTCACCCCTCTTCTCCACTTTAAAGCCCATCTTCTTCAGGAGGGACGTGTCAGCCAGCCCCTGTTCCTCCATCTTGGCAATCAGATCCTGGTTCTGGCTATTGTCTTCCGTGAGGTTCCGGATGGCATACACCACCCACTGGGTCAGAACTGGAGCGGAGTGAAGGAACAGGCCTTGGACACTCCCGTGAGCACAGCTGCACAGGGCAGAGGGCAGGCAGCCACTCAGAAACCCAGACCCGGCGCAGCCTTCCCCAGGGCTGTGCGCATACCACGCATCCGGAGCGGGAAATACACTTCAAGCAGTGTGCTGCAAGTGTGCACATGTGTGTCCAGTGTGTGTGAGGGCCAGCAGCACACAGGTGCCATGTCCGGACGTGTGGACAACTAGACAAGGAAGCAAAGGATCAGAGCAGCCGCAGCTGCAGTTGAGACACACCAGCATGTGCACACGTGTGCACACACAAACACACTCAGGTCATCGATAGAATCCCCAGGGGAAGAATAAGAACATCACAGAATTAGTCAGTGAGACGCCAGGTCAGAATCAGATGAGAAAACCGCCTCACTTAAAGGAAGCCCCTTTGTACAATAAACAAGCACTGTTTCCTAGGCAGCCCGTGGAATCCCCCTCGCTCCTCCAAAGATGAAGCTGGGAGGCCTTTCAGGGGTTGGCTGTTCGGTCTGAACCCTGAGCTCTCATCTCGCCGTGGCCCAGCCCTAAGTCTAACTGCTCTGCACAGTGCCCTGCACAGCAGGCAGGAGGGGCTCCTGAGCAAGACAGAACCGCTGCGCTGTTGACGGAGGTCTTCGATTCAGTCACCAAGAGCACGGCAACCTGCTCTCTGCAGTGTCTGTCGAGGACGGGACAAAGCTGCTGTGGGGACACCTCCAGGGTCAGATGCAGGGGCACACAGGACACGCCAACAGCAGTGGGCCTGGCCCCCTGTTGGTCTACAGGGGATGGCAAAGCACTTTGGGGGGAATGAACAGCTTTCCTGAAGAGCAGCCTCCTCCCCTGGATTGGATGGGGGTGGCAGGAATAACAGTCCTGTCCCGATGCCAGAACTGGCTCACTTGTGTCCCCACAAGGCCCTTAAGCTGGAAAGCTGATTCGGACCCCGTGCTGGCTCCCAGGGGCCCCAACCTGTTAGATGTAGGAAGCAGAGAAAGGCGTCTGTGTGCACACAAGTCTGTGGCTCCTGATGAAAGGGCCTGGGAAAGAGAGTGAGTCGGACAGGTTCCCGAGTTCAAGAACCTCAAAGGAACCGGTAAAAGATGAGCCCATCCCTGAAGTCAGACAAATGAAACGCAGAGCACACGAGCAGCCTCCTGGGGTCTGCGAGGTTGCTGTGTTCACCCCTCTGGCACACCCAAGCTGGCTCCCATCCGGCCCTGGGCAGGTGGGGTGTCCCCCCCCCCCCGCACCCCCTTCCCTGGTCAACCAGTCAGTGCCGCACCAGCCCTGGCTGCTGGCCATTTCTAGCTCCTCCAGGGGGCCTTGGGCCACACGAACGGGACCAGCAGCAAAACTCTGCTGCGTGAAAGACCCACTCACTGGTCTCTGGGGATTCAGAATTGGAACCGCTGTGGGTATAAATGACTGACTCTTCCCAGATGACACAGGACAAGCATTGCGGGTGCCGCCGATGCTGATTCTGTAATTAATTATCCCCTTCGGTGGGGAAAATGTTCTCATTTTGCCCTTTACTGGTATCCTTTTGCTATAAAGCCCAGGTCCTTTGTAAGTGTGAGTTTGCCCCTCCCCCACAGTCACCCAACTCACACGCTGTGCCAGTGCGGAGAACAGACCTGGTAGTCCTGGGTGACAGGCACTCCCAAGCTGTGAGCTTCTGCTCACTGGGTCACTTGCTGCACCCAGTTTCTCGTCCAGGGAAGTCGTCACTATACAAATTCATGAGATCTGCCCGTAGGAGCGTCTGAAAAGGGGGAAGTTCAGGCAAGAAAGTGCACGCGGAGCTGGCAGCTGCCGCTCGCGTGCAGCACTCTCCACTGCTGGGGGCTGGGAGCAGCGGCTTCTCCCCAAAGCTTCCTGGCCGTTCACCGAGACTACCCTTGGATGTGGGAAAACCGGGTTCCCTCCATGGCTGAGAGCCGTGGATGAGTGCAGGGCCGGTAGGCTCCAAAATCAGGACCGAGGTCAGAGGACAGAGGACCGCCCACCTCTTCAGACAATCAGTCTGCCACAGGGCAAACAAGAGCCCCCACAGGGCCCCAGCGTTCCTCTCCTGCTGCTGCCCTTCACGTCTCAGGCTCCAGCAATGTCTCGGCCCTGCGTGTAGTCCAGACCTGGGGTGTGCCCCGCCTCCCTCTGCCCCATCCTCTCCCCTGGAAGCCTCCCCGACCCCACCCTGGCTGCCCCAGGACCCCAGCTTGGGAGGCACAGGGGTGCTGTGTTTCCAGAGCTCTCTCGCAGGCCCCACTGCACTGTGCCTACCTGCGCCGGGGCAGGAGCGGCACCTCACTGGCGCCTCCCCGCCAGCACCTGGTCTCATTCCTGACACAGACTGGGTCGTCTGTTCCCGCCTGCCCTGACACCCTGCAAACTCCTCCTGTTTGCCTCTCTGTCCCCTGCCCAAGGACAGTGCTGGCAAGTGTCTGTGGCACATCGGACATCGGATGGGGGCATGCTGTCTCCCACTCACCGTGGGGCGGGGCCGTGAAAGTGAACCAGTGCAAATGGGTCGCCAGGTGAGGAAGCTGGGCTGTGTGAATACAAGGCCCATGACAACAAGCCCCAGGGGAGTCCCATGCAGACGGGTGACAGTGTGGAGTTTGGTCACGCTCCTCCGGGGAGGCAGTGAGGACACTGTGAAATACTGTTAGTTACATTATTTTAACAGCTCCTCCCGCTTAAAGGGTTTGGTGGCTAATTTCTGTTGACACCCTGACACCCCCCCATCTGACCCACGGGAGGGAGGAGCACAGAGAGAATGAGACGCACGAGGAGCCCCTGACGTTGGAGCTGCACGTGGCCAGGCGGCTCGCCGGGGCGATGGTGGGCTCAGGCCGGTGCGCCTGCGGGGACAAAATGCGGGTCCGAGATGTCACAAGGAGCGGTTCTTGGCAGGGGCCCAGCAGGCGACTGAGCAGAGGGAGCATGGGAGCCACTGCAGAGGAGGCGGTTTTGTCCCCTTCTGAACCTGGCTCTCAGAGGGAGACCTGCACAGGTGAGGGAGCAAGAGGCCCCTCAAAAACCAGAAATAACACAAGAACAACAGCAAAAGCCTCGACACTCTTCACCGAAATGTGTTCTGCATTCTCACACAAGTGAGATTAACCTCACGTCCGCTCAGGGGAGGGTCCCTCAGCCCGAGTCCTGCGTGCCTCTCCCCGCTGTGAGCAGCCTGGTTTTGGGGTGCTGTCATCTGTCTATGAAATAACGCCACATGCAGGCCCCCTAACTCATCCCGCTCTCCAGCGAGAACACTTTGGAACTACCATTCAGGGCCTCCGAGTTCGCTGTAATTTAAAAACAAAGCTTTCAGACTGTCCACGGAGGAAATGAGAAGAGGAGCGTGAGCTCGGGCCCCGGTGGCCCGGCTGAGGCACAAGCCCGGTGCACGAACATGCACGTGCCCCCGGGGATCCAGCGGGAAGCTGCGCAAGGGCTGCCCTGCCGACCCAGGAGGGCTCCAGTGTCACGAGGGAAATGAAAGTGAGTCCCAGTTAATGTTCACACTGCCCTGTGTCCCCTCTCCAAAGAGACAGAAAGAAGGAGTGGGGAAGACAATTAAACGTCTCTCGAGGCTCAAATCCTACCGGCGAGTGAAGTGCTTTCTTGTGTGCTCAGCTTTAGAAAGAGAGCTTCCGGGGTTGCCGTAGCTACTGCAAACAGAAGGCATGAGCCTGGTGGTCACACACGGCCTTGAAGGGACCCTGCCACCTGCCCAAGAGCAAGGGCCTATGAAGAACCGAGGGCTGCCCATATCTTCCACAGCGTTCTGGTGGCTCGAACCCGGCCACAGTGTTTGTGGCGACAGTGGCAGGGACCGCTTTGCCTGGGAAAGCCACGGTGAGAAGCTGTTCTCGGATCCAAGCAGTTGTGCAGAGCGACCCAGAGACCCAGCACAGCACCGAGGCCTGGGGCCTGGAACAAGTGAGGTCACGAGGTGTCAGCAGGGCAGGAAAACGGAGGCCAGGAGACAACATGACCCAGAAAACAACCTCAGGACAAGGGTGGTCCCAGCTGGCAGGGGTATGTGCCACAGGCACTTTTAAAGCAAAGTTGGCTGAGGTCCAACACTGGACTAGCGCTGTGTGACAAGGGAGAGCCATCTCACCACGAAGAACGCCCCCCCCTCTCTCTCTCTCGGCCCCGGTGCCCGCGGCCCTCGCTGCAAATCCCCAGAAGGCCGGCCCCGCAATGACCGGGACTCTGCTGCGGTCACCTCTATCTGGGTGTCTAGCAGACCGCTGAGAACAGGTAATTGTGCCCTGAGGTTTTGAATGGCTCCAAGTTTAAAAGATTTTGTATTTTTAAATGGTTGGGGAAAAAAATCATAAGAACACCACTTCATGACACATTCAAGTTACTTGAAACTCAAACGTCAGTGTCATGACAAAGTTTTATCGGCACAGAGTCACACGCGTGCATTCACGTCTCATCTGTGGCCACCTCGCGCTGTGATGGCTACAGAGACAGCACTATCACCAGAGCCAGAAAAAGGTCACTGGGTTTTGACCTTCACAGAAAGCGCCTGCCAACCTCTGGCCTGAAACACAGAGGCATCAATGAGCATCCGCTGAATGAGTGAGCTTATTGAAAGTACTATCACTGATAACAATATATTATTTAAATGAAATAAAAACCAAGTATGTTAAAAGATTTTACTGACTTTTCGGGATATGTGTGTGTGTATACTACATGTAATATCTGTATGGAATGCTTTACATATCTGTAGGTATATGCTGTGTCTATATTTAACATGCATGATGTATATACAGCAAGTATAGACACTGTATATAACAGCTATATGTAGTTTTTGCTTCCAGGATGGACTTAAAAATTTACTTTTTTAAAAAATATTTTATTTATTTATCTTTAGAGGGGAAGGGAAGGAGAGAGGGAGAGAAACATCAATGCATGGTTGCCTTTTGTGGGTCCCCTGCTTGGAACTGGCCTGCAG